ATAGTATAGTATTTCAGTCTGGCGAGTAAACAAAAAAATATACTAGCCAATGGCGATTCAATTGCTAAGGTGTCCGTTGAGGGTTGACTGTATAAAAACAGTTCGTGCTGCACTGTATTTGTTTTGTCCTATCGTATCTAACATATGTTGTTGCCTTATTAAAACATATGCTATACATTTAAAAGAAATGTATTTTAATTTTATAGTATATACTTATATATAAATACACTCATGAATGTTTTTAATGAATGGATTTTATAATAATACAAATAGCAATGTGTAACATTTTACCATATTTAGTGCAACACTTTTATTTGTTCCCCACAAAATATAGTTTTTTCACTAAATGTTTGGATTTCTAAAATTATTGTGCACTGATTTTTCTAGAATAACTTTTGCTGCCGAATTATCCACTAACCTAGTTTATGATAAATTTTTGTCATAGATTATAAATATACATAGTCCTATATTTTTTCATATTTGTTTATTTTATTTTTCTTTATAATGGAGTAGTCTGTATCTAGTAGATTGTGAAAGAATGATTATCAGTTCCACACACAGAGATATATAAATTCTACATTTATTTAAATGGGGGAAAAAAACTTCACTGGTATCGGTATCGGCCAATACCGAACCCTAGGTATCGGAATCGGAGGCGAAAATGGCGGATTGGAGCATCCCTATCATTTACTCACTCAAAAGTTGTTTTAAACCTGAATGAGTTTCTTTCTTCTGCTGAACATAAATGTTTTTTTAAGGAACGTGGAAAACCAAACAGTTGCTGGTCCACAGTGACAGTATAGTATTTAATGTGGACCAGCAACTGTTTGGTTACCCACATTCTTCAAAATATCTTCTTTTGTGTTCAGCACAAGAAAAAAAGTAATACAGGCTTGGGACAACGTGAGTGAGTAAATAATGACAGAAATGCAATTTTAGGATGAACAATCCCTTTAATGACAGTCGACAGCATGTGTAATACTGTCCCTTTAAGAGCTGCACGCATCTAATATACAGGCACGCATCCATTTTTCTCTCAACTGTTTGCTTTCATTTTAGATGTAACCAACTGAGTCTATATGTAAACCTTGTGTGTTTTGACAGTATTAGCGCAAAGGATAACTTAGTCCAGTAATCAGGCGCTGTTTGACAGGCTTTTTAGTGCACGTGCTTCATGTGTATGTGATCAGAAAATCACACGTCAGAACAGCAAATAATGTACATTTGAGTAGCGAATAAGTGCAGTGTCCCGTGAGAGTAACTCTGCCGCTGAGTTAACACTGATGTGAATGTATGTCACATTGTACAGTATATTGAGACGGAGGCACCGGAACTGTAACAGATATAATGTGTGCTGTAGCACGATACTACCATATTTCTTCAAACATAGAAAGAAACATAGAAAGAACTTCTTTATCGTCCACGATCAAAAATCTTTATATCGCACACCCCTAGAAATGGGATGGCCCTTCTAAAACTAAATAAACTGTGTAGCAAAGATTAGGGATGGGCGGATCAATCCTTAAGTATCGATACTTTCGATACTGCATGTTGTATCGAAAGGATCAATCCTCACATAAAAATATTGATTCTAAAGTGCATTTTTTTAACCATTAATTTTATTTATTTATCAAGAAATTCGGGGCATAAAATAAGCTTCTAAGTGGAAAAATAGACTATATTAGCGAATAATTGTGTTG